AGTGTGGTGAGTGGGTGGGTTAGTGAGAGTTCTTGTGATCTGCAGTGTGGTGAGTGGATGAAGTAGACGAGCATCAGCAAAAGGCCACGCTTTCCCACCTAAGGACGGACGCTTATATTGCGCCCGAAACGTCGTGATTTATTTTATATCTACGTGACTTTACCGAAAGCACCAAAGAGTATGGATTCCTACAGTCACGAAAGCTTCAAATTAGGATTGTGCTTGTTCATATCATTTCAATTCTCTGTTCAATATGATTCATAACCAATTTGACAAGAGGAAGGTAATGTTGCAATTCGTTTACAAAACACATCAGGTATGTAACGACGTCTTGAGGCACTGCAACATTCAGACATGCACCTGAATCGCGTTGTTTTGTAGGAGAACTGCGCCGTGGTGCATCGCGGTCACTGTTCAGCGCACAACGCCACAAGACTCCGGAGTCTAACACTCTGCTGATGGAGTCCAACACTCCCGGCTGCTGATGGAGTCCAACACTCCCGGCTGCTGATGGAGTCCAACACTCCCGGCTGCTGATGGAGTCCAACACTCCCGGCTGCTGATGGAGTCCAACACTCCCGGCTGCTGATGGAGTCCAACATTCCCGGCTGCTGATGGAGTCCAACACTCCCGGCTGCTGATGGAGTCCAACACTCGGGGCTGCTGATGGAGTCCAACACTCCCGGCTGATGATGGAGTCCAACACTCCCGGCACCTGATGGAGTCCAACACTCCCAGCACCTGAGGGAGTCCAACACTCCCAGCTGGTAATGGAGTCCAACACTCCCGGCTGCTGATGGAGTCCAACACTCACGGCTCCTGATGGAGTCCAACACTCACAGCTGATGATGGAGTCCAATGCTCCCGGCTGCTGATGGAGTCCAACACTCCCGGCTGCTGATGGAGCCCAACACTCCCAACTGCTGATGGAGTCCAACACTCCTGGCACCTGATGAAGTCCAACACTAACAGCACCTGATGGAGTCCAACACTCCTGGCTGATGATGGAGTCCAACACTCCCGGCTGATGATGGAGTCCAACACTCCCAGCTGATGATGGAGTCCAACACTCCCAGCTGCTGATGGAATCCAACACTCCCGGAACCTGAAGGAGTCCAACACTCCCAGCTGATGATGGAGTCCAACACTCCCAGCTGCTGATGGAGTCCAACACTCCCGGCTCCTGATGGAGTCCAACACTCCCAGCACCTGATGGAGTCCAACACTCCCGGCTGATGATGGAATCCAACACTCCTGGCTGCTGATGGAGTCCAACACTCCCGGAACCTGATGGAGTCCAACACTCCCAGCTGCTGATGGAGTCCAACACTCCTGGCACTTGATGGAGTCCAACACTCCCAGCTGATGATGGAGTCCAACACTCCCAGCTGCTGATGGAGTCCAACACTCCCAGCTGATGATGGAGTCCAAAACTCGCGGCTCCTGATGGAGTCCAACACTCCCGGCACCTAATGTAGTCCAACACTCCCAGCTCCTGATGGAGTCCAACACTCCCAGCTGATGATGGAGTCCAACACTCCCAGCTGATGATGGAGTCCAACACTCCCGGCTGCTGATGGAGTCCAACACTCCCGGCTGCTGATGGAGTCCAACACTCCCGGCACCTAATGTAGTCCAACACTCCCAGCTCCTGATGGAGTCCAACACTCCCAGCTGGTAATGGAGTCCAACACTCCCGGCTGCTGATGGAGTCCAACACTCACGGCTCCTGATGGAGTCCAACACTCACAGCTGATGATGGAGTCCAATGCTCCCGGCTGCTGATGGAGTCCAATGCTCCCGGCTGCTGATGGAGTCCAACACTCCCGGCTGCTGATGGAGCCCAACACTCCCAACTGCTGATGGAGTCCAACACTCCTGGCACCTGATGAAGTCCAACACTAACAGCACCTGATGGAGTCCAACACTCCTGGCTGATGATGGAGTCCAACACTCCCGGCTGATGATGGAGTCCAACACTCCCAGCTGATGATGGAGTCCAACACTCCCAGCTGCTGATGGAATCCAACACTCCCGGAACCTGATGGAGTCCAACACTCCCAGCTGATGATGGAGTCCAACACTCCCAGCTGCTGATGGAGTCCAACACTCCCGGCTCCTGATGGAGTCCAACACTCCCAGCACCTGATGGAGTCCAACACTCCCGGCTGATGATGGAATCCAACACTCCCGGCTGCTGATGGAGTCCAACACTCCCGGAACCTGATGGAGTCCAACACTCCCAGCTGCTGATGGAGTCCAACACTCCTGGCACCTGATGGAGTCCAACACTCCCAGCTGATGATGGAGTCCAACACTCCCGGCTGCTGATGGAGTCCAACACTCCCAGCTGATGATGGAGTCCAACACTCGCGGCTCCTGATGGAGTCCAACACTCCCGGCACCTAATGTAGTCCAACACTCCCAGCTCCTGATGGAGTCCAACACTCCCAGCTGATGATGGAGTCCAACACTCCCAGCTGATGATGGAGTCCAACACTCCCGGCTGCTGATGGAGTCCAACACTCCCGGCTGCTGATGGAGTCCAACACTCCCGGCACCTAATGTAGTCCAACACTCCCAGCTCCTGATGGAGTCCAACACTCCCAGCTGATGATGGAGTCCAACACTCCCAGCACCTGATGCAGTCCAACACTCCCGACTGCTGATGGAGTCCACCACTCCCGGCTGCTGATGGAGTCCAACACTCCCGGCTGCTGATGGAGTCCAACACTCCCGGCTGCTGATGGAGTCCAACACTCACGGCTCCTGATGGAGTCCAACACTCACAGCTGATGATGGAGTCCAATGCTCCCGGCTGCTGATGGAGTCCAACACTCCCGGCTGCTGATGGAGCCCAACACTCCCAACTGCTGATGGAGTCCAACACTCCTGGCACCTGATGAAGTCCAACACTAACAGCACCTGATGGAGTCCAACACTCCTGGCTGATGATGGAGTCCAACACTCCCGGCTGATGATGGAGTCCAACACTCCCAGCTGATGATGGAGTCCAACACTCCCAGCTGCTGATGGAATCCAACACTCCCGGAACCTGATGGAGTCCAACACTCCCAGCTGATGATGGAGTCCAACACTCCCAGCTGCTGATGGAGTCCAACACTCCCGGCTCCTGATGGAGTCCAACACTCCCAGCACCTGATGGAGTCCAACACTCCCGGCTGATGATGGAATCCAACACTCCCGGCTGCTGATGGAGTCCAACACTCCCGGAACCTGATGGAGTCCAACACTCCCAGCTGCTGATGGAGTCCAACACTCCCGGCACCTGATGGAGTCCAACACTCCCAGCTGATGATGGAGTCCAACACTCCCGGCTGCTGATGGAGTCCAACACTCCCAGCTGATGATGGAGTCCAACACTCCCGGCTCCTGATGGAGTCCAACACTCCCGGCACCTGATGGAGTCCAACACTCCCGGCTGCTGATGGAGTCCAACACTCCCGGCACCTGATGTAGTCCAACACTCCCAGCTCCTGATGGAGTCCAACACTCCCAGCTCATGATGGAGTCCAACACTCCCAGCACCTGATGGAGTCCAACACTCCCGGCTGCTGATGGAGTCCAACACTCCCGGCACCTGTTGGAGTCCAACACTCCCGGCTGCTGATGGAGTCCAACACTCCCGGCACCTGATGGAGTCCAACACTCCCGGCTGCTGATGGAGTCCAACACTCCCGGCTGCTGATGGAGTCCAACACTCCCGGCACCTGTTGGAGTCCAACACTCCCGGCTGCTGATGGAGTCCAACACTCCCGGCACCTGATGGAGTCCAACACTCCCGGCTGCTGATGGAGTCCAACACTCCCGGCTGCTGCTGACGGAGTCACATCACGCCCTAGCAAGATGCCCGTGGTGTGCCCTGCGTGGAACGGGTTGTAAAGGGCGGCAGCTTGACGAGTTGTCCGGGGGGGGGGGGGGGTTGGGGAGCAGATTTTTCATGAAATGGGGCAGAGCTCGGGTCATGAACATCGACGGGCGAGAGCATGGGGGGGGGGGGGGGGGGGGGGGGAGCAACCTGTCCGCACGACTGCTCACTTTGCTGTTCACGAGAAATTCGGCCACGCTCCGCAACCCTCCTAATGTTTCACGGAGCTGCTCTCGTGACGCCTCGCCCCCCCCCACTCCCACCCCCCACCCCCGCGCGCATCTTCTTGTCCCCCACGAAGTGCCCCCCCCCCATCCACCCCACCCCACCCCCCTCTGTACCATCGCACCCCCACCCCTCCCTCCCCCGCCTCATCACTTATTCACGGCGACTCCTCATCGCGGGCGCTGCGGTGACGGGCGGACAAAGGCTCTGGCGTGGGGGTTAAGCGCGGGGGTCATGTAGCACCCAGCTCGAAGCGCGCTTGCCGCCGAGGTGTGCCGAGGGGTGACAGGGGTCTTGGCGGGGTTCCCTCGCGTGGCCGGCGGTGAGTCGTGGGCGTCGGGGCCGGCGAGACGTAAGTGATGCTCGCAATGTCTCGGTGAGGTCGGGTGCCTGGTGAGTGGCGCTGAAAATCTGGTGGCGCTTCACAGTTATTCGTGGTGAGCCGTGGTGAGGAGTTACGAGAGGGTTTGTGAGACGCGGTCGAGGCTTGGACCGACGTTTGCAGCACCGCACAGATGGGGCGTCATCAAAGGGGGGGATTTGCCTCTGGCCTCAATGTAGAAGAGGAGCCCACGGCGGACCAGTCCCGTCTCTTAATGAATGAGGGGACTCCACGTGGCGTTCTGCCCCGGGCCACCGGGAGCCTCCGGGCGGCCCCGGGCGTTGTAAGGCCCCGTGAGGTTGAACATCGAAGCAGCGGAACGCGCAACGCGTTCCCATGCAAGGCGCAGGAGCCAGAGGCTCGATACAGAATCATTGGAACCCTTTTCCATTAGAAAGCATCGGCAATGCGGTTTCGCGTCACGCCACCCTGACACCCACTGGGGATTCGTTTTGAACGTTGATGGCGATAATTAATCAGGATAATTACTGCGCAATGAACAACCTGGTGACAATTGGGGTCGATTCTCGGACACGGCTAACGTAGGTGGCGAGTGATATATGAACCGGTCCTGGGCTCACCTTTCACCAACCCGCACTGACCAGCGTGGTGAAATATGGTCAATTAACCCCCATAACCGACAAGGCGTGATGAGGCTTTCAGTGTCGGATTAATCATTGACGTGAATGTAGATGTCTACGTTGTTATCAATGAGCACGGCAGGGTGGCGGCGCAGTTGTAATAATCGCACATCACAGCATGAAGGTATTATGCTCAAGTCCCAACTTGGGCGCCTTTCTGCGTACGATGTGTATGTGCTCCCCTTGTCTGCGTGGGTTCCCTCCGGGTTCTCCGGTTTCGCGGCATAGATGACCAACACAAATGTAACCGCTGTGGGCCGAACTTCCCAATCCTGTACAATTAGCGAACAATCATTCAATTTGAATTATACTCAGCAGCAGCAGCAACATCGCCCTCTACCGCGAAAACCTGGCAGGACCCTCGTGAAAAAAGAGGCTTGAGACTCGGTGAGGCTTCGCTGGCTAAACGAGCGGAATCGAGAACGAAAATAAAACTCGTCCACTCGGGCGCGCCTTCGGATGGACGAGCACGAGTGGTGACACAGCAGCGCGCAGGAGCGGGGCAGTCGGGACATTGAGCACGAAATATGAACCATTGACACCAAACGTGACGAGTTGGCGCCGCATCATGACATATCGACTCGACACGAACAAAGTACTCGGCGACTGTGCGAGCGCGTTGCGACCCGGACGATCACTGCAACGCGCGTGTCACCCTTTGGGCTGTGAAGTCCCAGGCTCCTCGCGCGCGCGTGGTTATGGATTCAGCACCCCCCCCCTCCCCACGAGCGCGCGACACGGGGCGCGCGCTCCTTCTCGGGACCCAGCGCAAAGATAAAGCGGTTAAATGCCCCACACCACGCACTCACACTGGAAACACTAAATAACTAAATATGTGGTCCGACGTCATGGCTAGGGGGAGCCAATGGAGGGCGCCGGGTGATGGATGACGGCTGCCCGCGCCTCAAAACCGCGGCCCCGCTCTGCACTCGCCTGGGACTCTTCCTCGCCACCACTCTTCCCGACCACTCTTCTCGGCCTCTCGGCCCTATGACCCCTGTACTCTAGGGCCTCCGGGAGCGCGCTGCGGCAGCCACGGGAACCGTGACCCCCACCTCCTCTTCCTCCTCCCAGTGGGAAGGTGCGATGCCTTACAGTGAGCTCCGCGTGGAGCCAGCCTCTTAGAAGCTGCCCAGGGAAGCTCTCAACTCTTGTGAAGCTGCGGGGCGGAGGTGGCCCTCTCGCTGGGCTCTCCGCTCCCCGCTCTCTCAGCTCGCCGCTCGCTCCCGAGGATTTGCGCCGCGCGATGTCCTCGAAGATGGCCTCCCAGGGCAGCGCTCTGACGCCCTTCTCCATCCAGGACATCCTCACTCGCAAGGACGACGCGCGCGGGCCCGGACCCAGCGACAGGGTGCACGCCATGCTGGCGGGCAGGGCGTTCATGCAGCACCTGCAGGACGGTGGCAGCGCCGGGGCAGGCGGGATCGGGCTGGCGCCTCCCGCGGGGCGTTGCCTCGCCCAGCAGCAGCCGCCGCCGCTGCTGCTGCTTCCCCCGGCGAGGGGCGCGCGCCGCTCCCCGCTCGGGCTTCCCGCAATCGGCGCGCCGCTGCGCTCCCCCTGCGGCCTCGGCTTCGCGCGGCTCAGCCCCTCGGCGGACGGGGAGAGCGAGGGACACGGGGGGCTCAGCTCCCCCGAGAGCCATAACGGGGACGAGAGACCGCGCGCGGGCAGCGGCTGCAGCGCGAGCTGCATCGCAGAGGACATCGCGGCGGCCGCCGAGTTCTGCGACAGCGGTGAGACTCCCGGGACCCGGCTGCCGTGCTGGCGACGTGACAGCGCGCGTGTGCGTGTGAGTGTGTGTGTGTCTGCGTGTATTTTACCGGGGAATGTGTGTACGTGTGTGGGGAGCGGCGGTGCAGCGGTTAGCGCGCTGCGCTACGAACCTGGCGACCAGAGTCCGATTCCCGCTCACGGCCAACATCAGTGACGATTATCTGAACAGGTCCTGGGCCTGCCCTAGGTCGACTCAGCCTCAAATGAGTACCTGGTGCGGTGCGTTAAAAGATCGCCACTGGTGAGACAAAGGCGACCGGGCGTGGTGCTGGCCACCCACCCCTCGTGTACCGTTCTGGCCTTCATAGGTGCTCGCGAACAGCACTTACCCCAACAGTCTGTTCAGGATATACGGGGGATCTTTGTCTTTGTGTGTGCCTGTGTGTCAGCCGGGCGTGGTTCTAGCCACGCCACAACATCCTTGCCCCAACAGTATGTTAAGGCTATACGGAGGGGTCTTTGTGACTGCGTGTCTGCGTGTGTATATGCTGGCGTGTACATGTGCCAGTGCGCGTGTGAGTATACATGTCTTCATGTGTTCGTGCCTGTGTATGTGTGTGGTGGGGTGTGCATGCGCATGTGCGGCGATGGGGTGTGAGTGTGTCAATTATTGTCGTGATAGTGCGCGTGCTATAATGTACGTGTATGGGTTTCACAGGTGCTACTCGCTAACAGCACTTGCCCCAACAGTCTGTTCAGCCTATACGGGGGATCTTTGTGTTCGTGCGAGTGTGCGTGTTCACGGATGCGTGCCGGTGTCTGCGCACTTCAGTGCGCGTGAATGGGTGTTGTATGTTTGGCTTGCGTGTCTACGTGTGTCTTGTTGAACCTCTTTCGCACCGTACGTAGCCAACGGTGCTATTAGGACGTGCGAGGAAAGGACAACAAACTAAACACAGACGGTAGTTCGGAAGAAATGAGTACACTCTGCATGTATACGGGGAGCGCTAGCTATGAACCTGGCCACCTGAGTTCCATTCCCGCTCACGGCCAATAACAGCCTGAAATGAATATATGCAAATATATACAAATGCGTAAATTTCTGTTAAACAAAGTAGAATCGTCGACGCGGGTTATTCGGTCCCGACAACTCGCGCAGTGGGTCGGTAGACTTTCTAAATCTGTTCCGATGAAGATTTTCCGCTTCATTCAAAACGAAAACCGGAGTCGAGAGTGGCACAAACGCAGTCAGATCATCAGTGACATTCACGCCACCTGGGTATCTGTATGTAAGTGTGTGTGTGAGAGTTTTTGTGAACGACGATGTGCGTGTATGTGCACGATATTAAAAATACCGTTCGTTTGCACTACTGTGGTTTTTTGTATTGTTTGGTGATTCCTCCAGTATAAATACATATTCTGATAGGTACATGTATGTGTGTGCGTATATGAGTACCGTCCACTATGTGTGTACTGGCCATGAGCGAGCGGGAATCGAACTCGAGCCGCCGGCTTCGTAACGCAGTGCGCGAAGCACCACCACACCGCTTCATAGGTGCTCGCTAACGGCACTTACTATCCGGGGATCTGTGCATTTGTATGTGTGAGTATGTATATGAGGATATATGTATATGTTTATACGGATACGTATGTCTATGAGCGTCGTGTGTCTGACAACGGTAGTGTAGTGGTTAGCGCACTGCGCTACGAACTCGCTAACAGCACTTGCCCCAGCAGTCTGTGTAGGCTACACGGGGGGTGTTTGTCTTTGTGTGAGTATCGCCGGATACGGAGCGCATTGTGCACTAGGAACGAGGCAATCTGATTCGACTCCTGCCCACGGCTAACATCAGTTGCGAGTGTTATCTGTCCTGATCCTGGCCACCCCTAAGTCGGCTCATCCATAAATGAGTACTTCATGCGGCATTAGGAGACAAAGGCGGTCGGGCGTGGCGCTATAACAACACTTTGCTCCAACATTCGATGGATACATCGATTATACATCGGCTGCATATGGTGGGGTGGTCATGGTCTCTTATCACGTGAGTAATTGTGTGCGTGGGTATAAGTTATGTATGCGACTATACATGTGTGAGTGTGTATGTATATTTACCAATGACATTATTTGTGCGTGTGTGTATTGCATCTACATATATGTGTATAAATAACGTGAGTGTATGCGTATATGGAGTGCAGTGGTTAGCGCACCGCGCTACGAACCCGGCGACACGAGTTCGATTCCCGCTCACGACCAATAACAGTGACGCATATTTGAACACCTCTTGCGCCTCCTCTAGGTTGACTTGGCCTTAAATTCGTGCCTGGTGCGGCGTTCAAACGTAAAAATGTAAAGCCGGAGGGGGGGGGGGGGGCGGTGATGGCCACCCACCCCCTCGCGTGCCCTCCTGTCCTGCATAGGCGCTCGCTCACAGCACTTGCCTCCAACCGTCTCCCGAGCCTATACGGGGGATCTTTGCCTTTGCATATTTGAGCGAGACCTACACCGCGGAAAACACTCACGGTCGCGTTATCGTTATTGCGGGTCGCGTGGTTGACAGTCGGTAATGAGCGTAGGTCCCCTTGCAGGCATCTAACATTACCAGCATTGTTCGAGCGAAACGTGCATTATTTATCCTGCAATTAGATCAATCACGTGGAAATTGCGTCTTTAAAAAAATACATCGTTGCGGAGGAGTTGGGTGGCGTCGGCGTCACGCTTGACGCGTCCGGCCAGCGCCTAAGTGGACTCGGGTGAAGGCCCCGCCGTGATGTCGCCCTTGCGAGCGATTGCCCTGCTGCGGCAGTGTTCCACGCGGCGCTGTGTTCGGTCGCGTCGTTACTGCGCCATGATCACCACTGGAGGCGCGACACTTTACTCAAGTCGGGCTCTTAGTAACAACGAGTGTTGCTGTCTGTAAAAACACACTGATGATGACCCGTCTCTCCCTTGAGAGCACTGGCTCCTCTGTAAAGGCACAATTACCTGGCTCCTCTGTCAAGGATCATTGCCCTGACTCTTCTATAAAAGATCAATGCCCTGACTTCTCTATCGAGGATCAATGCTCTGACTCCTCGACCAAGGATCAGTGCCCTGGCTCCTCTATTAAAGATCGTTGCCCCGGCTCCGCTGTGCGCGTCCCTGCAGAGCGACTCTGCGGCTCCATGGACGAGGACGACGACGCCGGCCCCGCCTCCGGGGACAGACTCAGCCCGGGCGCCGAGCCGCCGCTGGCTGAGGGAGGTGCCGTGGTGCTGGGGGGCAGCACCGGGCCCCCCGCGGAGATGCCGCTGCTCACGCCGCAAGCGAAGCCGCGCAAGAAGCGCTCCCGCGCCGCCTTCTCGCACGCGCAGGTGTTCGAGTTGGAGCGGCGCTTCAACCAGCAGCGCTACCTGTCGGGCCCCGAGCGGGCCGACCTGGCCGCGGCGCTCAAACTCACGGAGACCCAGGTGAAGATCTGGTTCCAGAACCGACGCTACAAGACCAAGCGGCGGCAGCTGGGCCTGGGGCCCGCAGGCGCGTCCGAGCTTCACGCCGGAGGAGGTGGTGGTGGTGGTGGTGGAGGAGGTGCCGGTGGAGGAGGCGGTAGCGCCAAAAAGGTGGCCGTGAAGGTGCTGGTGCGAGACGACCAGAGGCTGCAGCAGCACCACCACCACCAGCAGCAGCAGCACCATTACGGCGCGGCGGAGAGCCTCGCCTTCCCGCCCTCGCTGGCGCTCTACCAGACTCTGCGCTACTTCCCCGCGCCGTACGCGCTGCAGCACGCGTGGCCGGCCTCCCTTCTGCAGCCCGCGCTCCTGCGCCGTCAGCCGTCGCCGTGAAGCGCGGCCACGCCGCCTCGGCTCAATCGCGGACACCTCCCGGTCACTGGCGGGGGACAAACAATAACACATTGTGAGCGCTCGCGGGCGTGAGCCACCCGGAGGCGAATCCCGGAGTCCACCCCCCACCGCCCTTTCCCCCCGGACTGCTCAGAGCGGAGGTTTGTCTCGGTTGCTGGCGGACGCTGGGACTCGATGTTGAGACTCGGCTCGGAACGGCAGCCTCGCTCCAGGTGCGTGCCTGCGTGTTCTGGTGTCGCGGGTAACGCGCTGACTCACCGCGTCTCCGGTGTCCTCAAATAAACAATTAAACGAGCGAACAATACGCCTCCTTCCGATAGTCGTCCCTCAACATCACGAAATAGAGCGGCGTCTCTTTGACGCATTCCTTAAGCCACGGGGCCCCGTGCTGAGCGGCGTGCATAATGTCAAGGGGGGTTCAATAGGAACAAACGCCGGACCGATGTGGACGTTCAGTGCCTAACGAACAGTCAAACTTGCTTGAACCAATGCTGCTGAATTCAAAATAACGTCCAATCCTTAAGCAACCTCATGCTGGATGAAGGCCTCTCCCACCCCGCCTGCTGTGTCGGACACGGGTGGTGGTTTGACCATACTTCGCCACGCTGGTCAGTGTGGTTTTGTCTATAAACGGCGCAGATATCGCTCACCGTGAACCGGAACCGAACTCAGGGGTGCAGGTTCACAGCGCAGCGCGCTATCTCCTGCACCGCCGCTAGTACCGTTCGCTGCGATAACAATGCTCTCCGGATATCCATTCAAACGGATACAGTACTGTATACACATACACGCATCTTTTTTTAGTAAGTATCCCGTCCAAGATCAGGACAAACATCGACGCGTTCAGCGTGCAAGCGGATGACGGTGAAACGGCTCAGGATCCCTGTCTGTCGGATACCGGAGAGGCGGCGAGCGAGATTTGACGCGCAGTTGGGGCTCGCGGGGCGCGGACCCCGCAAACTCTCGGCTCTGCGGCCCCAGCGCGTCTGATACGTCGTGCTCTGTAGAATGCGAACTTCACCCGTGCTCGTGTGTACATATTTGATTCGTGTTTAAATCGAAAAGCACGTTATGTTATATATATAAAAAAATAACTGTAATATATACATAATGTGTATACGGCGCCGGTACGATTAACGGCGAGGTTCCTCGAACATTTCCACATCGCGTCACCCACGGCGCCGCGCTTTGCAGCAGTCTCGCTCCGCGCTGTCGCACGGGGGCTGTGTGTGGCCTGCATCGGTGAGTGATCTGCATCGGTCAATGATCTGCATCGGTCAATGATCTGCATCGGTGAGTGATCTGCATCGGTGAGTGATCTGCATCGGTGAGTGATCTGCATCGGTCAGTGATCTGCATCGGTCAGTGATCTGCATCGGTGAGTGATCTGCATCGGTGAGTGATCTGCATCGGTCAGTGATCTGCATCGGTGAGTGATCTGCATCGGTGAGTGATCTGCATCGGTCAGTGATCTGCATCGGTCAGTGATCTGCATCGATGAATGACCTGAATCGGTGATTGACCTGAATCGGTGAGTGGCCTTAATCGGTGATTGGCCTGCATCGGTGATTGACCTGAATCGATGAGTGGCCTAAATCGGTGATTGACCTGAATCGGTAATTGACCTGAATCGATGATTGACCTGTATTGGTACGAGACCTCCATATCGACGTGGGCCGCATCGGTGCGGAATCTGCGTCGCATGCGTTCATCTCCCTCTCTCCCCCCATCTCACCTCCCATTCCTCTTTCCCCCGCGTGATCCCGACGATGACATTTCACGGTTCTGACCCAAACGTTTGTTCCAACTCCGGGTTTCTTACTCTGTGTTGTTGTTGTTGTTTTGTTCCTGCCGCCCTCCATAGAACGCGTCCCATTAAATTATTATTATTACCATGAACACGCGAGGCGCCCCCCTCCCGCGCGTGCGTCTGAGTCCTTCACCTCCGTCCCACCCGGGCACATTCTCGCCTGGTCACACGCCGGTCCACCCCGCTACGCGTACACGTCTTACGTATTACACCTGCTGCAGGAGGCAGCCGCCCGAAACGTCGGTAGTTCAGTGTGCTTTGCTATCGACGGAAAATTGTATCTCGTTGTATCGCTCTGATTCGGCGTAAAATGACAGGTTGGATGATTTAGCTCAGGAGCCAGTGCCAACGGTATCTTACATACGTATCCTATATACAATATGTTATATACGATATCTTATATAAGATATCTTGGTGGAATGTTAATTGGAGGTTGAACGCTGCTGGTTACCCGCATCGCATTGGGCGATGGAGAGTTGATGGCTCGCGCTGCGTGTATGGGAGTTGCTTCAGTCAGTGTGAGAATTACTTTATGCGGGGTGCATGAATGACTGCAGTCAGGGTTTGTGGATGACTACAGTCCGGGCGTGTGAATGATTGTAATCCGGGTTTCGTTCAATTCCGCGTGTGTGTGTTTGTGTGTGAATGTATGTAGCTAGGGCGAGTAAATGAATGCAGCCAGAGTGTTTGGGTGCTCGCAGTGAGGAATTAAACACGAGGAGGCGAGGCAATTCAACCCCAGATGCGTCTCGCTGTACGCACGCGCTCGCGTGTGAGTGTGTGTGAGTGAGTGTGTGAGCGTGAGTGTGTGAGCGTGTAAGTGTGTCTCTAGTTATTCACGGAATTAGTTAAAGACCCTCTTCCCAGCGCTCGGAGATTGATCGATGAAATGGACTTTCGGGAGCTATGCCGAAGGCCGTAAATCCCAGCTCGGCGTGATTGTATTCCTCCCGCACGTGGGACTCATTAAATCCGAGTGTACACACTTCATGAATTAGCGCTGCCTAATATCCGCATGGCACCGCGCGACTCCCCCTGTAAACCAAGGCTCGCGCCCCCCACCTCCACCCCCCCCCCCCCCCCCCGGAACCAAGGGGAAGACCCTGGAGGTCGCTGCAGCGTGTCGCCTGATCTGGCGGAGGGGAGAAGAACAAATCTACGTGCAGACAAAACACAATTACAAGATTTGTAAAATATAATCGCGAAAAAGCCATTAAGCAGTACATGTCATATATATATAATTGTTACTTATTTTACCCAGATAAGCCACAATGAATCCGAACACTATTTTTGCAGGAGACTCCTGCATTGGAATGATTGGCCAACACCACTTACATTGTATATTAATGCAATATAATTATGCGCATGCAAATTCACTGAACGCGTAGACGTTTTATGTATACATCGCTCGGATTCAGATTTCTGATAGAACTAAGACGCGGGCCCAGATCCTTCCACAGCAACAGGTCAACTCGTCCTCCCGTCTATGGGCAGCCTCATCCGAGTCCATCCGTACTCGAGTCCCGAGTTCCCCAACCTGATGAAGCTCGGGGCACTTATAGCGTAAACGTCGTCCCGCGTTGGTGTTGGACTCAGCGGTGGGAAACCCGAAGCCCCCGGTGATCAAAGAGAGCTCTATGGGTTATAATTTGATCCAAGCATCGTCTTGTTACAAACAATAATAATGTCCGTGTAACCGTGATAATCTCGTCGGGTCGTGGATGGGGGTTAGTGACAATAATTTTGACATTTGAAATAAATCTATCACCACGTGTGACCTAACCCCCCCAAAAAATAAAATACAATTTCGAGATGGCGATGGTTGAATACCTCAGATTAGCACCGTTGGCTACGTACGGTGCGAACGAAGTTCAACGTACAAGGACGTGGCGCAGACGCACGAGGCGCCACGTGCTCGTGCGTCTACGTCACAGCGCGCAGTTGACTTCGCGACGTGACGTCACTGTTGAAGCGCCTCTCGCGCGCGGCTGGTATCGAGGCGAAGGACCGCGGCTTCTGCTTGGGTTTGTTATCAACAGCATCCACAACGACCGTCGATGATCATTGTGTGTCGTGTGTGTGTATACAGGGTAGCCCAAAAGTCAGGGCGCACAGGGTTATTCTATTAATATTAACAAATCGCGTAGGATGACTTCACTTATATTTACAAATGTTAAAACTGACTTCGATTAACGTTCATTCATGCATACATTCTCTTTTGAAATTAATGTAGGACTTTTTTTTTAAGATTACAAGTGCAATTTTTGAACATTCGTCAATTATGTTTCATCTCATGTCATACATTGGTCGGGTTTTGTAAGCGACGAATTTGAGGTGACCCCCCACAGGAAGAAGAAACACAGACAACAATAACAACAACAACAACAACGATAACAATAATTATCACAATAATGATGATAACAATAATGATTATAATAATAACGATATCCATAATAGAGGGTTTATTTGAGTGTTAGATCGCGTAAACATATAAATGTGTCGTTAAACCCGCCGCCACCCTGCACAGCACATTAGTAAGGTTTGTCACGTAAACAAAACGTGCCAATTCGTTACTAGTTCAGCGCACCGGTTGTGTGTTGGAGAGTAAACCCGCAACATTTACCATTGTAAATATTGTGGGCGTGCTGAACTAGTAACCAATTGGCACGTTTCGTTAACGTGACAAACCTTACGAGTTGGTTGTATAGGGGTTGGCGGGCTTAACGACACATTTATATTTGCGAGTTCGAACCCAAAACACCACCATTATGGATAATATTGGTCGCGAAAGTCGACGTGCTAAACATTAATAATGATAGGTAAAATATATTAGCTTTAGGAATAAATAATTAAAACAATTTCACGCCAGTGTTCAAATAAATTAAACAACCCTATATGTCCTGATTTTTGGGTCACTCCGTGTACATAAATGTATTATATATATTGAGAGTTTCGTGTCAAACTCGCATTCATTTCTCACATAGAGGGTTTCTGCCTACATAGGCGCTGTTCACCAGCAGTGGTTTAATCCGAGCCGAGTCTGCTGAAAGTGGCAATGAAAGGCGAATCCGGCCAAGAGTTTGGCTTTACCCAAGCAATACTGCTGAGCAGATGCACTTGCGGAAGGATAGGTCGCGTTAGACATATTTACATGGAAAGGCGACGATGTCACGGAGGATATATGTTGTGATATTCGAGTATTTATCTCACCCAGTCGAGGTGGGGGGGGGGGGGTACCATTGGCACGTGACGCCCATTCTGCTCGCAACGTCCACCCACAGTCTCTGCAGACACGGTGACTATCAGCCTTCGATTAACGGGATTTTAACAAAATCTGGGCTCCTCTAAGTGGACTCAGCCGAAACATAGAACGTGACGCGGCGCCTTAATGCGATGGGAACTCAAGGCAGGCGAGAATCCGGCCACACCACCGACCCCCCCGCTCCTCCCACCCGCACCCTTCGTTCCGAAAGACCTTAACAGGCGCTTTGCTGACAGCACGAACCTCGACTACTCGGCTATATCAGGGCTCTACGGTACATCCGACCACTTTTGAGTCGTGACATAGCCAACACTGTGGCGTGGAGCATCGTATCGACAAGGCTCGATTATTGCAACTCACTACTCACGCGATGTCTGGTAACAACAAAAAAAACCCCGTTACTAAGCTGCAGAGTGTGCACAGTTGTTGGGCACGTGTCGTGACGAGTACCGCAAGCGCTGACCATGTCCGTTCAGCGCTCGCCGAACTGCATTAGCGTCCGGTGACCGAACGAATACACTATAATGTCGCACTCATCATACACAGAGAGTGCTGAAAGGAACAACAGTACCTCGCTGATCCCGTCAAGGAGCTGAAACCATAAAGCGAACCCCGGTCATCCTCGCGGTGGCTTTTGGCTGGCCATTGGACAAAGACGGTCAACGCATCGATGCTCTTCAGCAGCCGTCTGGACCGCACTTCCATCCGATATTAGGCAGCCACTGGAGCTATGCACTTTTAAAACTAAGTGGGACATTCATTTATTTAGAACTGCTTTTTGTGTTCAGTTTGGTGTACTTCCCCCCCCCCCCACCTCCGATGAGCACGGTTGGCTACATACACACACATGGGTGAACATGTGTCGTTGTGTGAACGTGTCAGTGTCTGTGTGTGTATGCAGGTGTTTGTGAGCGCGTGTGTGTTTGCGTGCACGTGATCGGGGGATTGTATACCAACACCAGTGGGGAATATCTGAACCGGTCCTGGGACTCACACAGCCTCAAATAAGTAGCTGTTTTGCGGTGTATAACCATTAGCACTGGGGAGACAAAGGGGGTCGGGCGTGGTTGCTGTGCCAGCACTTCCCCTAACGGTCTGTTAAAGACTATAATGGCGCGATCTTTGTCTTTGCACGTGTATGTTCAGGCGGTTGTGTCTGTACGTGTGTCTGTGTGTGCACGTATGTGTGCGGGCGTGGGCTCACCTGTGCGCTGAGGGACACCGCACAGGCGAATCCACACGCACTCACAGTCGCGAACACTCGCCCCACATTCACGCAGAGATGCCGAATCAGACGCGCTCTGACCAATACAAACCGCACAAAAATTCCGCCTCTCTAACACATGACGTAGAATTATTTTGTAATCTATCCGCCTCTCGGTTTTCGGGCCAAAGTCGTCACGGTGGGTGCGTGAAAGCGAGACAACTCTCAATCGGGTTTTGACCTTCTGGGTTTCATCAGCAGCCAGGCTCCATTTGAGGATTATCGTCAGGGTCGACTCGCTTCCCACCAACCCGGCGATTATTGCAACGCGCGCGGGAACGGCACAGAGGGACGGAGCTCCGTCTCCTCGTGGGGACAACAACGACGTTCCATGGAGCGGCGACTACTGCCGGCGACTGTCGACCTTTACAGGGCCCGAGCGTCATCGCTCTCAGCGTCTTCAAGATCCCTCCTCGACTCGCCCCTGCCTGCATCTCCCCGCTCATCTCACTCCACTCTCCTCCATGCACTCTCTGCTTCAGCAACCAATGTTATACGATAGAATGTCAGCCATTCTATCGTATAACCTTTGGACGAGTCAATGTGAAATAACCAAAGTTCCT